AATGTTTCATAGTAGGACAGGTTATTTGAAAATAATTTGAGGCGGAAGGTATTTACTTATAACAATAGCAATGTCAATTAGTCATATTGCTTGTAAGATTATGATCGTAGTAGCGCTTTTCGAGTAGCCTTCATTTTTGATTGTTTTTTTTTTGTTGATTTATTTACACACAACATTTCACTATTAAAGAATACAAATTTTGATTATTTTGTGATCAAATACATGTGGAATAAATAATTAACATATATTGACGTGGACTAATTTTCGACAATTGGGCCCTGAATAGAGTTATTAAATTAGTTTAAACCACTTATTAACTTTTTAGCTTGTGTCTACTGAGATATGCTATTTGACATTGCTATTGTTATAAGTAAATACCTTCCGCCTCAAATTATTTTCAAATAACCTGTCCTACTATGAAACATTTTTAGGGTCTCTTTTGCATTAAGATACATATTAGTTCATATGCTTGAATACATATTAATTGTTAATAAGTCAGATTTGGGTATATTACCTAAACTAAAAAGAAATTTAAATGTTTATTATTTGATAATAATAAAATATACAGTTAGACCTGCCTAAATGCATAGTCTATAAAAGGCCTCTCTAAAGGCATACGTAGTTTCATTTTGCCCCAACTTATATAACACTTGTAGATTTTTACCTCCCTAAATGCAATACCTCGGCTATGCATTTAGAGAGATCTGACTATACATAATAATTGAAATTCAAATACCGTAGTGCACTGCCGGGGTCTAATACAAAATAGCCGTCAAAAAACACAAAAAACCCGGGTATATTATACAGCAGTGGGTCTGTGTCGTTTATATACATACTTCGCATTCATGATAAGCAGTCCAGAAATTTTAAAAAACCTAATAGAGATCTCGAAGGGTGATATTGAAAAGGGGGTACTTTGTCAGTGCTTATATATATATATATATATATATATATATATATGTATATATTAATTAAAAGGGCAATTGTAATTCGTTAAATAGGGTCCTTAAATCCCATTTATATTGTGAATTTATTGCCGGATGAACAATATCTTCAACCTTCGAAGTAATTATCATATTCTCATTATATGTATGTGTAATTTCCTCGATTTCACTTGTCGATACTTCGACCCATACGTCTAAAAATTGGCCAAATTCTTCCAAAGAGGTCTTGTCATCATAGTTTTCATTCAAGGCAAGATCTGCAGATTCATCATGTTCCGCAGATTCATCAGATTCTGCAAATTCATCAGGTTCTGCAGGTTCTACAAATTCATCGGTTTCTGGAACTTTATCGTTATTACTTGATTCTTCATTTAGTTGAATATTTGGTTGATCATTATTTATTGTTTCATTTTCATCTTCAAAATCGGGCGGAAATATCTCAACAGGGTTTGATTTACGTGAATGTTCCCATGCGATAGAAGCTTTTAATTTGCTCATATCAAGAGCCTTTTGCGACTAAATAAAAATTTATTTAATATATTAAATAAAAAATGAAATTTAAATAAAAACAAAATAAAATAAATTACAATTAGTCGATTTCTCCGATTGTTTTGGAAAAAGCTCATACAACTCCAAAGGCGCTCAACAGCAGCAGCATTAATACAAATCCCGTATAAACGACATGCAACTAATTCTAATTCATTCGTTGAAGGCGCAGCAAACTCCCAATATCTTACTATATCATTAAATTGTTTGCAAGTCTCATCATCAAACGGGTAAACCTTTTTAGAAAAATTATAAAAT